GGGCTCCTGGAAGGGGCGGGGCGGGTGTGGGCGGAGCCAGCTGGCCCGGAGGGGAGGGTTTATAGCACTGTGAGTAGGGGTGGGAGAGCAGGCCCCAGGATCTGCTCAGGGCTGGGAGAAGGAGGCTGGGTGAGCAGCAGAGGGGCGGGGTCGCTCACTCAGCCCTTTCCCCCAGAATACGCTGATTCAGGAGTTGGAGAGCTCCCAGCGGCAGATTGAGGAGCAGCATCACCACAAGGTACCCAGGCCGGGAGGGGCGTGTCTGAGGGAAAGTGACCTCCCGCTTTGGGAGTGTCGCTCCTGTGATCATGGGCCCTGGCGGCTCCGTTAGGCCTCCGGCTCCTGGTGGTGGTGGTGGCAGCAGAGTGGCAGGGCCCAGTGGGAGGCTCAAGAAAAGGATTTCATGGGGCCTTGACCCCTGGGGAGGCAAGAGCCCTGCGATTCCTGATTCCTGGAGCATCAGCCGCTGTCCTTGCCTCGGCCATGTTTCTGAAGTCTGGGAGGGTGCCTGCCCCATGCTCTCAGTCCCATTTACCATGTGCCACGCCAGTGTGCGTCAGTGAGGGGCCAGCCGGCCTGTTCCAGTGGCCTCCTTTCACAAGCAGGCTCCCATCCTGGCTCTACCACCCCTCTGCCGGCCCTTCCTCTCACCCTGTTGGACTTCTATTTAATGTCATTGTGGGCCAAGCCTGGGGCCCCCGGCTTTGCACTTGCCCGTTCAGTCTTCTGCTTTGTCCCATTCTACTGCCCTCTCTGCCCCTCTCTGACGCCCACTCTCCCTCTCTGGCCCCACCCTCACCCTTGGGTCTGCCTGGCACAGGGCCGCCTGTCTGAAGAAATTGAGAAGCTGCGCCAAGAGGTGGACCAGCTGAAGGGTCGAGGGGGGTCATTTGTGGATGGCGTCCACTCCAGGTACTGGAGCTCGGGAGGCTGGGTGTGCTTGGGGACAGACAGGGGCCTGGATGGATCCTAAGAACACAGGCCATCCTCCACCAAAAGGGCCATCCAGGACTTCAGCATCCTCCTCCTCCTCAGGGTGGGACACCAAGGCTCAGAGAACTTGTTCAGAGTCACTCAGCTCTCTGGGGCAGTTTAGAAGGCAGTGCCTGTCCTCAGAGGGATGCTGAGAGGCAAGTAAAGCAGGTGACACTCCTTCCTAGCGGCCTGCTTCCTGCACAGAGCGCCATGCTGCCGAATCACATGCTCACCCTGCCCCCCGGGGGCTCCGGGGGTGGGAGAGGGGAGAGTGCCACTCATTCTAGGTCTTCTGTCATACGGTCTTTGGGGCTGTTTGAGAGTCGGGGACCACCTCCATTCACATGGCAGGCAGGAGGCGAATGGCAGCAGGCGGGATTAAAATGAGGCCTCAGTAGCTTTCTGACTGTTGGGAGTTGAGATGCCTGGTCCCTAATAAGGTTGTGGCTTCCCTTTTCTTGAAAATATATTTAAGAGATGGCGTCTGGAACATTCCATGTAATGCTTGAGTTAGGCTCAGGTTATAGGCCACTTCTGGACTTTACTCCCCATTTTGTGGAGCTGTTGCTGGCATTGGATTCAGACCTCAGGCCTACCCCTCAGGTCGAGTAGGCCACAGCAGATGAGGCTACTCAGGGTCAATGGCTCTTATCAATGCTTATCTCAGGTAATGGGGCTCAACTTCCATAAAGACAGGTTAAAAGAGATTTATGTGCTTATAGACATGGTTGTTTTTTTTGGGGGGGGGTCGTGCTTGAATTAGGGAAAGGACATTGAGCTTGAAGAGGTGAAGCTTATGAATGTCTGGCAGGGGGTAACCCCAGATATGAATACCATCTTCAAGTTAATCAGAAATGTGTACGGATGTGAAGAGGGGCAAGGAACTGGACAGAAAGTGGTGGTTGGGACGTCTTCCTTCCTGTAGGTTGTTCAGAAGGGACCAAATCCACAATTTAAGTGGACATAGCTTAGAGTGTATCAAACCATTTGTCACTACTTGCTCTCTTTAAGGGTTGGGCATTCCTGGCTCTGGCCATTGGACCCATCTTGGAATCAGGACCAAGTCATAGGGAAGAGGAGGGGATCAACAGGAACTCCACTTCTCGGCTTCCAAGCTAAGAAGGGATAGGGAACAATTGCCACTAGGGGGAACCTCTCAGATGTTCCAGAGGATCTGTCCTGGGATCCTAACATCTCAAGGCTGAAATAGCCCTGGGGGAAGTCAAAATGCTCCCTCCAGACCCTGCCTCTGATACTGTGCCAGGGCTTCTGGGAGCATCCTGGGGATGGATTTCAGCCAGGGGCAGATTGAAAGGAGACAAGGGAGACTGTCAAAGAGAAGACCCAGAAACAGAGCCTCTCTGAGCTCAAAAAGAACCTGTGGAGACCAGCTTCCAGCTCCTCAGTGCTGGGAACCTCTCTACACTGTTCTGGTCACATGGCTCAAGGGCCTCCATTGACCTAGTTCTGATGGGACAGCGCAGCTTTTCCAAGGCGGCCACTTGCCCCATAAGTAAGGTGACCAGACGTCCCACTTTTGGCCGGACAGTCCCGATTTTTAACAATTTTTCC